GAACAGAGGCTTTCCAGGAGGGTTTCTCCCGGCGCTGGGACCGCTGCCTTGGGGTTGGAGGCATTCCTGACCTTAATACCATACAAGTCTTGCGGCTGGGAGGAGTTCCTGGCAGCCTCAAGCAGCCTTTTTTTATTCTTTTTTTTTTTTGGAAAAAACAAGTATGTATCACACTTTTTGCCATCCCATAGGTCCTATGGTACGGCCACAGTCCTAAACGCATATACACACATATCTTTGGCGTGCACAGAATGTCACACCAATCTGCAGGGTAATACCCCCTGCAGGCACTTGGTGTGCCTGCCTGCATGCCATTCTGCATTGGTGTGCAGTGCAGGCGCGCACACCAATCTGCAGATGGTGTGTGCAAGGGGGTATGGTGTGCCATCATCATGCCCCCTTACCTTTGTTCTTCATTTCACTTTTGTTTCTAAGTTGCTACTATCTCTCTTTTTTTAATTTTCTTTAATTCAGTTTGTCTCCCCTCTTTTAGAATAAATCTCCTAATGGAATGCTTTCACCTCATGAATCTCTCAATCAATCTTGTTTTTTTCTTTACATTTGCTTGTTCTAATCTTCTTCCTTTAATTTTGTTGTTCAACCTTTGAAGTTATGGTTCTAGTTTGAGTAATCTAATCCGTTTTTCTACAGGATAGACTATCACTGCACTAGGAGAAATACCACTTGTACAGTGGGTGGCAGCGGTGGGCCGCTACGCTTTTGGCCCAAAAAGCGTAGCGTTGTAAGACTCAAAAGTGGTTGTGAGAACCCTTTTGCTGAATGTTGAAGGGTATGGTGGAGTTGCAAGCTCTGCCCTTCTGTACTATCAGATAACAAGACCCACCAAGCTCAGCTTGGCAAGTTTTAATCAAGTGATAGGGGTGGTTGGTTCGAGAATAAGTTGTTTGATCACAATTTAGTTGTGTGAGAGAAGAGGTTTTGAGATTATGAGAGTGAGTTTAGTGTGTATTACAAGTGTAAGGGTTGTTATTGGGTGTTATAAAGGTTGTTACAGTATGTAATGGTAATGGTATGGTATGTAATGGTAGGGGGTATGTGATTTGTGGGTACTAAACTGAGGGGAAAAACAACTGGGAGGAGAGCCTCCTTAAATAGACAACAATGAGTGATTTTGGCTCCAAGGGAGCAAGAGAATGAGAGATTTTAGCTGGTCAGAGCTGTACAATGAGGTAATTTAGCTGGTTGGACAGCCTACATGATGTAATTTGAGTTATTTTAGCTAGAAGAGGCAGTGTACATGAGGGGATTGTGCTAGCCTAGCAATCTGCATGATGTCATACAGACTGCATGAGCTATCCTGACAGCTGCAGGAAGATTATCACATGACCTGTCAAGCTGTGCACATGAGCTGTACACATGACCTGACAAGCTGTGTAAGCTGTACACATGACAGAAGATTATGATGTCATCTGTTTACCTGTGTCCTGTAGTGAAGTGTTTGTGTAATTTGTGTTGTACATGTTCAGAGGTGTGTAACATCCATACCAGTAGAGTTACAGAGATGCCTCCGGTGGTGACCAAGGGTGAAATGGGTCCTAGAATCCATTTCTCAAGTCCAAATGTGTTAGTTGAGAAGAAATATAAGAAAAATGATAAAAGAAAAGAATAAAATAGAATAATAAAAAACTTTGAATTTTTACACATTCAGCTACCACAGCGTAGCGGCGCTTTTTTTCATGCAAAAACCGTAGTGTTAGCGGTTTTTTAGCGGTTTTTTGCTACGCTACGCTGCGCTACAGTGCTTTTAGCGGAAAAAGCGGCCAAAAACCACTAAAAACTGCTGTAGCGCAGCGTAGTGGGCCCTTTTTTGCGGCCCACACGCGTAGCGTTAGCGGTGTCGTGGCGGAATTCCGCTACGCTACGCTAATCGCTAACAGCGATTCCGCTGCGCTACGCTACACTAACCGCTAACAGCGATTCCGCTGCGCTACGCTACACTAACCGCTATGGTTAGTGTAGCGGCCCACCGTTGTGGGTGGGCACTAATTTTTGGTACCCCATTGTTCTATTTTCAAGGACCCAGAATATCTTGTGGGGCTTCAGCATTTCTCAAACACAAAAAATAATCTGATGTTGATTTGTTTCTGACTCTTGAGATGAATTCTTGAAATATATGGCAAGATTAAGGATTGAGTGGGTTGCAGAGGGAGGGGGAAAGGATGAATACATAAAACAAAAAGGTTCAAAAATGTCTTCCTTTTTCAATTTCTTTTCACATCACTCCTTTCACCTGTCACTCCTTTCCGTTTCTTCAGAGTGCATGTAAATTTCACCTTCGGTGCCACAATTTGGCTCTCAAAGTTTTCATAGCCCAAATATAAAAGGTTCCTAGATATAAATGAAAATATGTGTTCTTCTGCAAATCATTCCCTGAGTTCTCTAAAGTATACAGCCTCTTGTATTATAACGCTTACATAAAAACTGACTGGGTTGAGCATATCCTATTTAATTTAGGATTCACTCAACAAATGTAACATTCATTGAGATAATCAAATATCCTTGAATGAGCTCACTCAAATTTGTATAGTTTGAGTGAATACCAGATGAAACAGGATAACCTTGGCCTAGCGAGTTTGATGGAAGTGTGCAGCAATCAAACAGCATTGATGCTTCAACTCCTTTTTTTGCACCATCATTGAGCTATTCTTGGTGGGAAAATCCCCCCTCTCATTATTGTATATCAATTTGAATTCAATCAGGACTACAATGTACAAAGAGGATCACAGCCACATTCAAGTGATAAAAATGAATCTTATTACCTGTAAACACCCACACCACAAGGATGGTGAATTTTTCTCACATTTCCATTTTGACTCTGACTACAACCTAAAAAGATCACTGTTGGATTTTGATTAATTTCAAGGGCTACAAACTCTTTTGAAATCTCTTATGACATTTCAAGAGTTTGCATTGGTACTGTTGTGATCACTCTACTTCTAAAGTGATCACTCCAATTCGGTGTGATCACTCTACTGCTAAAGTGATCACAAACTTGGATCATCACCAGTTTACCACTTCCCTTGATCCTCTATTCCTCATCTCAAGTACCCCTGTTGACCAATTTAGAAGACTATTGTAAATCATCATTGAAAGTTCCTCATGTGGTCAAATCTGTCAAGTTCATTGATCTAACCCTGCTCTTTTGGAGGTTTGAGTCTTATCTTTTCATTTTGTTTCTATTTATTTCATTTATTCTTTTGACTATTGTGATCAACTAGTATCATCTTTATCTATGAGCTACAGTCCCAGCATGTTTGGTGGATATTCTTGTTTTATTTTCTTCATTGATTTCTTTGATTCTACCTCTTGTTCCTGTTTTATTTAGGGGATTTCTCTTTCCATTCTTTCTTTATTGTTCATCTATTTTTCTTTATTTTCAAATCAACAGAAATCTGGACTTGCCCAGAAAAATGATTACACTAGCTTGAGGGGGAATTTCCGACACCATCCACTATAGGGGCTTGAATCTCAGTCCTCTGTTGGCATTTGATATCACGGCAGGAAAAACTTCTTAATTTTGCTTTCAGGAAAACCCTTTTCCTGCATAGCCAGAAGTGACATTTATAAACTAGCCGAAATTACAAGGTAGTGGAGAAGTTAGTGAGAGGCTTCCACCTTCTTAAGCTTGGGTAGTATGCATTGAAGATTAATTCGCTCCCAGGCACACATAAGCTGAAATCTAAAACATAGAAACACCGCTGTAGGAATGAGCTGAGTAGTACTCGGGTTTAGGTGTGTATATCAGACACAGGCTCGGGGTGTACCTTTTGATAAAATTGACACCGAGGAAATCCAGTGAAACCATGCATACTTCGACTCGTGATCCATCAGCGGTCTTTCGTGAGGACTGGGCGCATACCACTTGTGAAATAAATTTCACAAGTGGTATACTATAAATTTCACAAGTGGTATACTAAATTTCACAAGTGGTATACGCCCATGGAGTGGCCACGCTCTATGATGTTTTTTGGCTTGCCTAGCACACCGAGTACTAGAGACTTGTGGGGCTGGTTTGAGTTTTGACTGAAAGCCGCACATTGGGAAAAGGAGTTAACCTGGTGAGATATGGCCTACGGGGTAAAATCAACGGCAATCCAAAGCGGCAATCTGTCAGAATGATGAAAGGTGTGGTTACAAGTACCGGCTGGGAGCAAGATGCGTTCCTTGACTGAGGTAGATGATGTCACAGGGTGAGGGCATCAAAAAATGATGGTGCTTGAACGACAGGAAACCAGGGGAAGAGAACCCAGAAGAATTAAACCGTCTTGGCCTTCAGCTTGCCTAATTACGCATTTCAGGGTATGTCATTTCAGCCAGACCCTTTTCCTGTCAACACATTAGACGCCGTCAGGGACCGAATGGAAATTATTGGTGATCCCTGAACTTGAATGTAACGATAGACAGCAGAAGGTCAGTTTGCACGTGGCAGCACATGCTCTTGAGATGTCTGGGCCCTGGGCAGTGTGAGCACTTTGTAGCTTGACCCGGTCGTCCAGACCTCGTAACAATTTCGCATTCCCGATACTTGGTTTAGGATTGTTTCCTTGGTGGCCCACTCGAGATGTGGTCTCTCGAAGTCGGTTTCTCATTAGTTACATCTGACCCGTCTCCTGGTCTCTAGGTGATGCCATGGTCCCTACTAGCCTTTCACCCAAAGAGGCTCACTTCGAACGCCAAGAGCTTGTCCGTAGGGTGTCTGATGCCTAGGCTGAAACGCATCATCCAGCCAATCATGGCAAGATTTCGAGTCTAGCCTGGTGGTGGTTGCCAGGGTTCACTGCTGCCAGACGCGCTTTTCTTTACCTCCTGACCTGGCAGAAACAACTCAACCTTATCGCACTTCTATATAACAGATGGTAACGTCTCCTCTTCAGTTGTTCATATTCTCATCCCACATTCTAACGACTCCACTTCCCCTCAACCTTTACCTTTTAACCTTGTAAATATACCATTTTCCTTCCTCTCGACACCTCTTCAAGATGCTTTTCAACCAAATTGGCTTCCTCGTATTAGTCTCAGCTGCGGCCACCGTGTTGGCTGCTGACCCAGCAGGTACGCAATATCAATCACTTGCCTTACACTCCCTAACTCGTCGCCCTACGCAAACACCTTGCTCACTGCTTTGTTCATGTATCAACTCCAGGTCCACCTGCTGACAAAGGCGTCACCGGTAGTTCCGCCGACCCCAAACCGGCCGGGTCCCCTCCCAGTTTAGATGCAAGCAAGCCTGACGCCAAACCTGACGCCAAACCTGATGCCAAACCGGATGCCAAGCCCGATGGCAAGGATGGCAAGTCCGATGCTAAGGCTGATGCCAAGCCCGACGGTAAGACGGATGACAAGGTGCGGAGTCAGCGCATCTAATCTAATAATATGCCAATTGCTCACTCGATTCATATGTTCATCCTGTCTCATAGGCTGCTGGGCCACCTGGCGGCGATCCTACCAAAGGCACTGACTCGAAAGGAGCGGCATGCACTTGTCCCTCACCAAGCACACCACCGGAAGAACGTAAGCTTGAATCAGCCTGTCTGGCATCATCTCCGCTAGCTTTTCACTCACCCGTTGGTCTACAATCCTTCCACTTTGTCCAGCTGTCAAGAGCCCCGAAGAGGAACCCGCCAAACCCCCTGCAGAGGACTCAGAAAGCGTGAGTTGATAACTATATTCATCAATTTTTAACAACCAGAGTCATTGCCTCTTGTATCTGACACCTCTACTTTGAATTCACAGGCCGCCGGAAGCACCTTTGGTTTACTCTCCCAACAAACCCATCTCGGTTATTTGGGCACAAGTCTTCTCGCAGTGCTCGCAGCGATATACGTCTAGCGACCCCGCCCTGCTTCTCCATCTGTTTCCTTTTTCTCATTGAGAGCTAGTTTCACTACGATTTCTTTGCCCCATGTCCACTCGATACCAGAAGCATGAAGAATTTGTATTTGTTCGAAAAATTGGTCCGCTCTTCATCCCGAAACCCTGCTTGCTTTTTATTCCTGTTGCACAATAAAAACAGATAAGTTCCCAAAACGATCCATCCAGATCTCTTATTATCTTCATTTTTGCAATCCCATCCCTTTGTACTAAGACCACACAAGAAAGTGAAAATGCCACAATTTGTAATCCACTGTCATAACATAAACCCAAGCGTCACCGAACTGAGTTGCCAAATCAAGATTCTCAATGAATCACACATTCGAAAAAACACCAATGGCTATTCATTCCAGAGGTATTAAAGTTATCTTTTTCAGACTGCCAAAATTAAACCATGCGTTTTTTTGTGAGGGGAGGCCACAACATTAAGAGTCTGAATCTTGGTCGATAGGCCTTGCACCTTCCATCATGATCACAAATGAGCAAGGCACATTGTAGACTCCTTCACCTCCATCATGACTCTGAGTCTGACCTCGATTTGGCCTTCCAATCTCAATTTGCTGGAATGTTGTAAATCTTGGCTCGAACTCCTCGACCTTTTGAAAACCATTGAACTTGTGAGCTTGATTGTTCGCATAGCGATTGACTACCAGGCCACATTTATACTGATGAGTGTAATATGAAAATGTTGCTATGTGAAGACTGCAACTTTTTCTTCAAAATTGCTTTTTGTCCTGAGACTGGAATCGTGTCCCGTCCAACCCTTAAGGGTTTATCATTCAAGTTCCTAAGGGAACAAGACATTATCATCATGGCAGTTCTTGTTCAAAGAAGGATTTATTAATCATCAGATAACTATTCTGACGTGATTCAGGATACTGATTGTTAATTATCTTTTTATCAGCGTTTTCCTTGATCCCCTTGTTGGGATGCTTATATCGCGTTGTGTCAGGTTGTGTCCACCGCAACACCCCTCACATTCAGAGTCATTTGGTGCCTGCGTGTTTTTTGACAGATCTTTTCACTCGTACTCTGGCTGTTGAAGGATAACAAGGGGATTCATGAGAGTCATGTCGAAGCCAGTTAGGTCCTTTTGAAACCATGTACATAGAGACAAGTCATGAGAGCTGTTTGCAGGATAGATGATCAGCTCCGAAGGATTAAAGATGAAACCAATCTTGAGAATTGTATGGCTTGGGTGTTTGGGCGTAATGTACAGTCCCGGTCGACGTCGACCAGGCCTACCCTTCCCATGGTGGTTGACGTGTCAGCCTTGAGCCGAATCTCCCGGGGGAAACGGTCAACTGCCACTCATTTAAGTAGCCACCAGCAGTACCACTACCAGCACCAGAGATAGACCAACAACCACCCTTGAAATCTGACGATGGCTAGTCCCAAACCAACTAGAACGAAGCCCCAAACGAGGAACTCGGTCCTCAAACTCAGCTTACTCTCGCTTCTCAGTACCACCACTCCCATCATCAACACCGGCGTCAGAGCATCAGCCGACGCACATCGGAGAGATGATATCTCTTTCAGAGGACCAGTACCCGAAGACCTTCACGTGCCTCATTGGGACTTCTCCGGATCTGCGTTAGTGTCTCCTCTATCGGTCGAATCTGTGCATATTTGTCTAATCCTTTTTTGGCCTTTTTTCCAGTCATCGAATTCCTGCTGCAAAAGATTTTGTTCGGCTGATTACCCCCTTCCCATTGGCGTATGGAGCGATGTTTACAGAACAGCCGATCCCATTCGATCAGTGGTCGGTTGGTGAGTTATGGTTTTCTTATTTATTTATTTATTTATTTGGTTAGCGGCCAATTTATTTTGTCATTTATTAATTGCCTGTTACTTTTTTTCACTGGATGATTTGTAGAGATCGCATTTAGGATCCATGGTGGTTTCAGTGATCTCCATCATGGACATCACAATGAAACCCACCCATCTGATGAGGATGAGGAGATCACTGGTAAAGGTGGAAGAGGTATTGCGTTTTGGTACACAAAGGTTTGAAGAATTTTCCCCACTTCATTTTCAACTCGAAACGGCTAGTTATTGACTTCCCTCATTTTTTTTTGTGTGTTTGTGCAAAATAATCGACCTAGACACCAAATTCGACACCACTTGTTGCATCCACAAATCCTAAAAAACACGTTGTCCCACGTCCACCATTGACGGTAGACCAATTCCCAGACCCACTAGACGATGCGGTCTCATTCTTTGGTGGTCCAACGAGCTTCAATGGATTATCCGTCGTGATTGACAACCAACCCTCGACACCCTTGACACGGCGATCCGATCGACAACACTGGGGCCCAGAAGAGAGTGGAATCGGTGCGGAAGAGTGGTCTGTCGTCAGTGGAGTGATCGATGATGGACGAGGCCATATCAAGTGGCTCGAGGACCGCAAACGTAGTGATTTGGAGGAAGATGAAGAAGCTGCCTACCTAGTCTGTTCTCCCATTCTCTTCCGCGACTATTTCACTAAACTGATTGAACACAAAAAAAAACCTGCACCTAAGAATTAGGATCTTGTTCTGACCTGACTTCAAATTCTCTTTTTCTTCAGAACCATACTGTTGGTGATTGCCAAGTTGCACTCCGAAACGCAGCTGGTGTGGTATGGATGAAAGTTACTTACGTCGGCCACCAGCTCACGGTGAGTGATTTGGATACATGCTGTTGCAAAACCTTTTCACAGTATTGTTTCAGTGAGGATACTTAAACTTGATCGGATGTATCTCTAGGTTTCCCTGGATATTTCGCCTCACAACACTCTATCCGGAGAGAGCAGGCACTATAAACGAGAATGCTTCTCTGCCAAAGATGTGAAACTGCCTAAGGGATACTACATGGGACTAACTGGTTTGGCTAGCCCGAGCGATGAGGCCGATAATGTTGATATATATGCTATTGAAGTCAAGGAGATCAAGGGAAAAGCCAAATCAGAGGAAGAAGTCATCGAGCATTACAAGGAAGAACACGTTGCTGCTGATGATGTCAAGTTGGAAGGCACAGGCAAAGCAAGAGACGTCAGTTTATTCCCCCATTCGCTTGAATAATCTCTCGCCCAAAACTGGAACTCCTCTGAATTTGTCACTCCAAAAACTGATGTAATGTGTATTTTTTTTTTTTGATTGTTGATTAGCCAACGAACGTGAGTATTTTCCGTAGATTTGCAGCGGGGATTTGAAATCACACTGACATTCTAACCTTTATTCTATAGTTGGCATTCGAAGCGTTGAACTCACAAAGGGATTGGGCCCAAACGATCAAACAAATGTCACTAAAGTTGGATAACTTAGGAAGCCGACCGTCCCAAATCAACAACGCGAACGGCCAGACAACTGAACCTGTTTCAAGCGGTAACAATGGAGTAGATTCACAGCTTCAAGCTATCAATGCCAAGCTGGATAACATCCTTCACAAACTCGATACGGCTGCCCCCGGTGGACCTGGAAGCTCAGAGGTTTGTCAACCTTATATTTATTTGCACGAGCGCTTTTTTTACCTCTCGCTCCTTCGGACTCAGTCGACTAACTTCATTTGATACTCCCCCCCCCCGTTTATTTGCTTGAAATTGTGACAATGTAAGAAGAAAAACGAATTGTTGGAGAAGATCTTTGATTTGGAAGAGCAATCCAACCGGCACGAAATGTTCTTATCGGAACAGATTGAAGAATTGAGACATTTAATTCTCAACCCACCACCCCCAAGCTACAAGGAAGATCATCACTTCAAGCCTCTTGAACATCAGCACGATGAGATTACAGGAGCTCCCGATCATCCGCCACCATCCTTCAACGATCATTTCCAACATGAACGATTTTCTCAACAACATAAGAAGGAGAAAATGACGATGTTGCAGTTCCTGGGTTGGTCGGTTGGGACGATCGTCGTCCTCTTCGGGGCCTTCAAGGTCGTTCAAAAGATCATCAAGTCCCGGAAATCTAACAACTTTGGAAGCGACGAGGGCAGCTACTTCTTGAATACCAATGGGCCTGGTCACAGCAATAGCGCCCTATCTATGACGATGGATACGTTCGGCTTCAGACAACGTAGTAAAAAGATGATTTGAGATCCCTCTTTTCTTTTGATCAATTTCCGCTTTTTTCTTCCTTTCTTCTTATTAGAAAGCAGTCTTGTAGATTGGCAGCCCCTGCCTGGGATTCCATAGAATTGTACATAAGCAGTGAGCGCATGTTCCCTTGGGGAGGGTACACTCGGTAGGTAGTCTCATGGAAACAAAGTTAGGGAAGGTGAAGAATAGCTAGACATCGTCATCCCCCTATGCGATCAGGGGTTGGATGTTTTGAATGTTTTCCCTCTTTCCTTTCCATCATTTCAGTTTTTAGAGTTCCGATTTGTTCACCTTCTTCGCTCACATCTCAACTTTCTTCTTCTTTTGTGTCTAACTCTTTCTCTCTTGAGCGTCTCTCTCTCTCTCTCAACTTTCACTCTGTTTCTCTGTCTCTATCACTTTTTTCTCTCTTTTTTTTGATTGGTGCCTGCATCTTGATACCCACAAAAAAACCCACATCTGGGAAAAGTAGTCAAAGTGAATTCTATTCCTGGTATTACGCTTTTCTCTTTCCTGTATCTCATTCGGAATCCTCCCCATCACATGCATGAGTCTTCGCGCCTTTCTGTGCCTTGATGGGGACGCGTGGCCCATCAAGTCCGGAGCAACACCGCAGACTTGTAATAGTTGTCCCAGAATCCACCGCGAACAATGTGCCTCAGATGCTCTCGGATGTTGTGCCTACGACTAATGAAGAGATGGGACTAAACCTACAGTGAGTCCGACAACGGCTGAAGTTTGTTGTTCAGACATAGCCCAATCGCTGTCCGGGGAGCCGGATCTTGTCCATGGTCTCTTCTCTTCCCGTGGGCCGAACACGACATAGAGGGGTGAGAGGACGGTTGCAATCATGTCTGCTTTGCGTTGTTGCTTCAAGTTTCAAGCGATCTCTTTTCATGTAGAACGAATCCATCTCAACGTCTATGTAATGCTGAGAATTCTTGCGTGTATTTGTACCCTCTGAAATTGACAAAAAAGACGACGATTGGAAATACAGTTGGAGGAAAATAGGGAAATTGGATTTTGAAAATTCCAGTTTTAAAACAAATGAGAGAAACAGGAGGGGAGTGGAAACCGATCGTCTGTTGAGAAGAAAGGGCAAATGTGACGTTATAGATGAGATCCCATACATTTCCTTTAGAATACTAGGGGACAAGAAACATTTTTAGAAAAACGAAACAACTACAAGGCCTAATTTCAATAAGACTCATAGCTCTTTACATGAAGGAAGGTGTTTAATACAGTCTTCCGGCAACTTCTGATTATGCCACGCAACTCGACTGGAACAGAACAAAAGAGTATGACTTAGAGGTGAGCATAACCGACGTGAAAGGAAACAGATAATTAGAGAAACGCACCAATTGTAACATAGAGGCTCCACCAGTTCTTGTTTAGATATTATTTGAGAAACAAATTCACTCTCTCCGCCTGGGTAATCAGTAGGCCAATATCTAGGACCAACTAGACGAAAGTTAGTACCGAAGACCTCACTGGAGAAAACAAAGGCCCCATTATCTAGTGGAAATGGGCGGTCGTCTTCAGGGGCCTGACGCCAAGTGAGGAATTCGAGAGTCACCGGGTCATACTCCGGACCCTCCCAGCCGCTCGGGCCCAGGTTTCCCATTGGCCATACTCCGAAGGTGTGGACGCGCCAGGCGATGTCAAACACTTCGCTCAACACTTTGCCATCATCATCGATGGACAGGATCGGCCCGTGTCCCAGGATCGTTCGCGACAGCCGATGGATGAGCGCGTATGCAGAATTCTGTTGCGCGTTCCCATGATGCCGTGTGGGCCCGTAGGCAAAATAAATAAAGGGCAGCCCGCTCTGAGACAGTACTTGCTGGATATCCGCAGCGATACTCTCCCCGTCTTCAATCACGATCCAGATCAACTGTCTTCGACCGGTGCCCCACTTCTTCTCCGTTTCCTCCAGATACTTTCCGCCCCGTCTGGCTACAGTGGACAGATGATCTCGAATGGCCTTCACATGGCGACGGAAGTAGTCGGGCCTCAGGCCGCCCGTCCTGCCGAGCGCGCTGGTCTTGGTGAAGATGTATTGGGTTGGAAGGCCGACTTGGAGGGTACTAGCCCTGGTGCTGATCGTCGCCGGTAGGACGGAAGAGTCGGGAACACTGCGGTCGAGCAATGTGAGCGCAGCTTCGGATGCCAATAGTGGGTGCTGGCAGTAGACATCTCGAATTGATGACTAAGCTTGTTGGGAACAGTTGATGGGATCAGGCGAGACAAGAGGTCAGAATACTTGCTCCAATTCGTCCCACTCAAAACTGCGACTCACCCAGATTTGTGTGATGACTGCTGAAGATTGATCGACCGAGTCAATAGAGATGGTTGCATTTGGAGAGCGCTGGATAACCAATTCATCCGGCGGATTGAATTCCCGTCGGATTCTGCTATCTGAGGAACAGCCGCAACGGGCGCAGAGGGCGGCCGAGGTGGGGGGAGGAGGGGGGAGCGGCCTTAGAGGATGAGGGACGACGGGACGAGGAACTGCCGGACGTGAGCCGGCTTTGGTGATGGCCGGAGGGAGAAGTGGGGGCTGTGGTTGCGGGAAGGAAGGCGTCGGCGGAGAGGGCGCCGGAGAGGCGGGCTGCGAAGGCGGATGAGACGCCGGCTGCGAGGGCGGATGAGAGACCGGCTGCGAGACCGATTGCGAGACGGCGGCGCTACGGGTGGGATTGATGGAGTCGATGGAGAAAGTCAGACTGTAAGCTTTACCATGACGTGACAGATGGTCCGAGAAGGCTTAAAAATCAAACGTAAGCTGATGGCTGTTCAGGAATGGCGAAAAATAAACCCCGACTCACGATAGAACCTGAGGAGAGTGAGGACCAAGCAGAGAATCAATATAAGTTGAAACAATAGGAACCGTGTCCTAAAAATTGATTTTAGTCGGGTCAGAAGACATAATGAGCTATGATGCATTGGCTGCTCGCTGATCGAGTTCTGAGTCGGGAGAAGGGTGTAAGGCTTGTCCTGAGGATCGCACTGGGCGCTTCCCAGCATGATGCGAAGGGGAAAACGACGAAAGATGATGCTTGTAGTGGAGGGGGTAGATGACAGCTACTCTTTGTCGGCGTCGAGTGTAGGCGGATAACGGAGATGGTGAGCGCGTGAGGTCTTTGAGGCCAAGTGTTGGTAAATGGCTCGAGTAGAAGTGGTGCTTAGAGTATGCCTTCTTTGCTTGCAGTTATTGAGACTCTCCAGTTTTTGCCGGAAATGAGTTATCCGGACGGAACTATATGTATGCCACGGCGTGAGTCTGATCCAACAAAGGCAGCAAGGTATTCGACAAAGCCGGATTGCAAAAGGATCTTTTGAGATGATAATCGGGGAGGTCGGTGGGAAACTTGAAAATTCCAGCCGCAAGATGACTGCTTGTTCTAGTGCAAATCCTCAGTGGAGACGAGGAAGGCTGAGGATGCAATGTAGTCTTAGAATTCTTGGGACTGGCCCGATGGACCTATGAAAGGGTGGCCATGGCTGATTCGGATGACTGGCTTCGGTTTCCCAAAGGGGCGGGCAGGTCAGTTGGACTGCTCAGGATATGAGGGAACATGAGCTATGTCAGACCATCGAGCAACCAACAAAACAAACAAGGGGTCAAGCAATTTCTCGACCAACATCCACTACGAATGAGGTAACCGGGGAGGTTGAGCCTTACCATTTGCGGTGAACGGTGTCCAACCTGATGAGTTCCAGCCATCGCACCTCTCATCTCCTGCCACCAAACGACCGACCTGTTGAGAAAAGATGGCTTGTAGTGTCCGAGGTTAAAATATACCACAACCCTGGGGATGTGAGCCAAATGATGGATGGAGGTTTGCACCACCCTTTGATCATCGCATCAGCACATCAGGAGATCATCGCGTACATCCATCACAATCTCCCACCGATGTCCTGGAAGGGAGGGAGCCGATAAAGGCTCGGTAAGTTAATTAACGCTACTTTCACTAACGTTTCTACATAATTAACTTGTGTGTTCTCAAGCAGTCAAGGAGCATGGTGCAATCCGGCCTAGGACAAGTCCAAAAACACTTGCGGATACTGGATTGTTATAGCAAGCATTCCCGGAAATGTGTCCCACTCAATTTCAAGGATGATGAATGTGATCTTGTCAGGGGCCGAGGTGCACAGTGCGAATCAATCATAAACCGCGACCACTATCAAGCATCGAAGGCAGGCCAACGCCACCCCACATCTCAAGTCCAAACGACTTCCCAGGGATAACACCGATCGTTTCTGAAGTTGGCGCTGCAATAGAATTTTTTCTCAGGACTTCATGTCGGATCTGGGACCCTCGAAGAAGTTGATCTAGACCCGAAAACTCTTGATTCTTGCAGAGAAATTTGAATTTTGAGTCTCTAAGGCCCTGATTATAAGCAAAGTTTTTGGATTTTGGCTTTTTTTATTGGGGCTTGGTCAAACGACTCCCAAAAACTGGAGAGCTGACTCCCAAGCCCCGAATTCCCCAAAAAATGGGAGTCGAACTCCCAAAACCTTTGACTGGTTTGGGAGTCAACTCCCTAAACAAAATAATAAAAATCCCCGGTCGGTTTGGGAGTTGATCCTCCCAAACCAACCAGGGTTGGGGGTCAATGAACCAAAAGACATGGCAGCGGCTGGGAGGATTCTAAAGAACCTAAGACTTTTGGTTTCCAAACCAGAGCGTTAGAACACGACTAACGTGGGCTAACAACGTGAGCAAGACAATAGCGAACCTTTTGGTTTCCAAACCAGAACGTTAGAACACGACTAACGTGGGCTAACAACGTGAGCAAGACAATAGCGAACCTGGTGCGAATGAGGCAAATGACAATGAGGACGAGTGAGACACAAAGAAGAAACGAATGAAGAATTCGAATGGATTGCATTTCTAACCTTTTGGTTTCCAAACCAGAGCGTTAGAACACGACTAACGTGGGCTAACAACGTGAGCAAGACAATAGCGAACCTGAAACAAAAAGAGATGAGAAACAATGCCGAAGAGAGAAAGAACATGAGGAGATGAAAAACAGACCTGGTGCGAATGAGGCAAATGACAATGAGGACGAGTGAGACACAAAGAAGAAACGAATGAAGAATTTGAATGAAGAAAAAAGGAAAACAACAATGTGAAATGAAATGATCCCCTTAAATACATTCGAAGTCTTTTAGGTTAGGTTTCAAACTTTGTGCATCTCACTGTGCACGTGTCTAGCCTCGCCGCAGCGGGTGGAGAATGAACCCCCTGACTGTAAGTTCAACACCCCCCCTCATTCTCAACCCGACAGGTGAATCCCTTCCACACAGGCGTTATGCTTGATTTTGCAAAGTGATTTGGTTAGGAAATCGGCTAGATTGGAGTTTGTCGAGATGTAATGAGTTGAGACAACCTTGTCAACGATTTGCTCCCTTATCCAGTGTAGGTGAACTCGAAAATGCTTGGTTCTGTCGTGAAAAACAGTATTCTTGGCCAAAGCAATAGCTGCCTGATTGTCACACAGGATTGGGATTGGACCTTCTTGAGAAATGTCTAGTGAAGAGAGTAGCCTTCTGATCCATACCGCTTCCCTCCCGCCTTCATAAAGAGCGGTGTATTCAGCTTCCGTGGTGGATGACGAGACAGACGGGTTCTTTTTCGCTTTCCATGAAACAATGCTGTCACCGAGAAGGACGAGATATGAGAAGTATGAATAAGAATTGATTTTGTCGTTGGCGTGATCAGCGTCAACATAGATTTTGACCGGAGAGATTGATTTGCCAAGAGTGATACCCCTTTTGGAAGAGCCTCTCAGGTAGCGCAAAAGGTGTATACAGGCCGTCCAATGTTGAGAACCGGGCTTTTCAAGATATTGAGACAGTTGAGACATAGCGAATGATATATCAGGACGCGTTGAGACGGCTAAGTAGTTAAGAAGACCTATTGCACGTCGGTAATTAATGCCTAAAGATTGAAACTGTCGTTGCTCTTCTTCGGTAGCCGGGGTGAGCCTTGTGTGCGGAACTAGAGGAGTGGATACCGATTTGCATTCTTGCATGCCGTATGAGGCTAGAATCTTCTCGGTGTAATTATCTTGAGACAATCGAATAGAGTTCCCCACCTTGGCTATCTTCATCCCTAGAAGGTGACGCAGAGGGCCAAGATCATCCATGAGATATTTCTCAGATATCAGCTTTTTGAAACGACCAACGTCTTGGCTAACGATCACCATGTCGTCAACATACACATGCACCCAGCACTTCCATTGGGGATTGTTGGATATGAATAAGCATGGGTCTGCATCGGAAGGCGAGAAGTTGATTGATTTGAAGAAGGTGGATAGTTCGTGGTGCCAGACCCTTGGCGCTTGTTTCAAGCCGTAGATAGACTTAAGGAGTAGTAAGCACTTGCCGGGAGGAACTTTGAGACCAGCCGGTGGACGGAGGTAAATGACTTCGTCCAGCTTGCCGTTGAGGAAGGCATTTTTAACATCCATCTGATGAATGTCCAAACCGGCAGCCATACCCATCGACAGCAACGAACGGAGAGCTGTTGGCCTACCAGTTGGAGCGTAGGTCTCAGCGTAGTTCAAACCTTCCACTTGGAAGTTTCCTGCCGCACAGAGCCGAGCTTTGTACTTGGAGAGGACACCATTCTCGTCAAACTTCTTCCGAAAGATCCAGACGGTGTTGAGTAATTCGACCCCAGCAGGAATATCGACAACTTTCCACACACCGAGTCTTTCCATCGCCGACAGCTCAGCACTGATGGCTTCCGCCCAACTTGCAGAATTTGGGTCCTTCATTGCTTGTGAGTAGGTTTTCGGAGCTTCAGAAGTCTGGTCAAAGAATTGAGCCCCCGCCAAGAAACACTGAACGTGAAAGTCGAAGTCCTCGTCAGCTATGGCAACATGAGCCCTTCTCTTGGTCGTAATGATATTCGATTGATCAATATCCGAGCTGATGTCCTTGGGTGCTTTCTGATTGATCGGTTGAAGTACCATGTCAAAACCAGGCCGCGATGAATCGGATGAGGATTGATTGGGTAGGTGTGAAGTGTCCTCTTGTTCGGGCTCGGCCGTCGGAGAAGTGAGACGCCTTTGAAATTCCTCGTCAGATTCATCCGAGTCATTCAGAACAATTGGCTGCGAATCATTTGGAGTAATCGAAGGTTCATTCGTCTCAAAATCTTCAGATAAGATAGAAGACGGAGAGATAAGGCCAGCTGGATTGAAGGTGGAGATTCCTGGAAACAAAGTCTCGTCGAAAGTGACATCATGACTTAACTCCACACGATCATCCTGTGTCAAGATGCGCCAGTTGTGCATCCCAAGCTGGTAACCAATCAAGATACCCTTTTTAGAGGTGTCTGAAAATTTTGTCGGTCTCTTCTTGTCCGGCAAGTTGATATACGCCTGACAACCGAACGTCCTGAGACGGGAACAATTAAAGGATCTATTGAACCATAACTCATATGCGGTGCGCCAATTCTTCTTCCGAGTAGGTGTAACATTCTCAAGGAATACCGATGTCTCAACTGCATGACCCCACATAGAGTGAGGGAGTTTGGCTTGCTTAAGAAGCAACCTGGCCTTCTCGGTTGTGGTGCGATTACCTCGTTCAGCTATGGGGTTCTGTTGAGGGGTATAAGGTGCAGTGATATGCGAAGTTACTCCTTTTGCCTTAAGAAATGACTTAAACTCGTTTGAATTGAACTCGCCACCGCCGTCGGTAGTGATGTTCTTGATTGGACGGGAGTGAAGAGTGGTGACAGAGTTATAGAATTGTTCAAAGAAAGAGAAAGCCTCGGATTTCTTCCGAAGAAGATAGACAAATTTATAAGACGAGTATTGATCGGTGATTTTAAAGTAATATTCGTATCCATCAGATGTAGGAGGTGAAATACGACCGCTAAGATCAAAGTGAATATATTCTAAACAGTGAGTAGAGATGGGAAGAGTCCCTGAGTAGGGCAAGCGATGAGACTTTGAAAGAGAACAAGCTTCGCAATTGAGTTTGAAGTCAGAGAGATTGTACATCTTCTTCAATGATTCGTTGCTCGGATGTCCCGCCCGCCTGTGGAGGAGTTCAATGTCAGGCCTCGATTTCGAAGATAGCTTAGTCGAGGGAGACGACTTGCCTTTGATGATTTCGAGATTGATAGTGAACACGTCTTGATCATTGAGATTCACTTTGAAGAGAGTTTCCCCTTCGCAGACGAGATTTGCGGTTAACGGGCCTGTCCTGACTCTGTCACAACCACGACGAAACAGCCGTCCTTCGGAAATGAGATTACCGACTAGTTGAGGAACATGAAGACACTCTAGTTTCAGAGGTTGCCCCTTTTCGGTTTTCACGTAGACGTTGCCAATTCCAGGACATAAGGTCGTCTTGCCGTCGGCCAGCTCTATTTTGCATTTGGAGTTGGTCGAGTAAGAGGAGAACGCCGATCGATCCGAGATCATGTGATGTGATGCTCCGCTGTCGAGATATGCAGTGTTTGGTGAAAGTTTGACTGAGAAAGCCTTCTTGATGGTATGCCACGCAATACTCGAGGTAGAGGAGTCGTCATCTGCAGCTTCTGCCTTTTTCGCTTTCGCTTTGGACTTGGCACGACGTTTTTCCATCTTTGCTCGTTGTTCAGGATGAAGTTGAAAGCAATGTTTTTCAGGGTGATTGGCTTCCGGATTGTGAGTGCCATCAACACATTGAGGTTCGGAAGAGTTAGTTGACCGAGATAGGGTTTTCAGAGCTGATTCTTCACTCTTGATTTTGACAGTTGTGTCATCCAATCGACGGTTATCAAGGAGACGTTGAAGTTTTTCGATGGTAAGAGGTCGACCCTGGATGAGAACCTCTCGAGTGTGAACTAGATCAG